CTGAGCAAAGCCTGTTGCTATCTTTTGGGACTGTGCTATGCTCTGGATCTGAAATACCCCAAGAATTTCAAATGCACATTTGAAGCATTTCAAAAAGTGTTCATGGAGCTGGATCCAGGAAACCTTTCTGTCAAGGTTCAAAGACTGAAAAATGACCTCTGTTCATTGTAGACAAAATTTCACAGGGCTGTTCTTAAAGTGTTAGACTTGTTAAGTGACATGTAATGCTCATCAAAAGGTTCAGTTGCGGCATTACATTGTGTTGACATTCCTGTTCATAAATAATGTTTGTACCATAAACTGTGTTTTTGTATTAACTTTCCAGATTCACATTAAGGTGTAAATGGGAGAGTATCTTCTGTATGATTTTTTTTTATTTTTTATTTTTAAGCGCAATCCTTTTTGAAACCTTTTTATTTAAATTCTGGATGTTTTTTGGTCACTCTTTAGTTATAATCTTCCCAATTTTTTGGAATCAAAATAAGATGTTCAAAAACTATGTCACAGTGCAAATGTTTTTTTTTTTTGTTTTTTTTTCAGGATTTATGTTTTTTTGGGATCTTAATTTTATTTTTGTCATTTGACCTTTTCTGAAAAGGTAAAGCACTGCGTTCACTTGAGCCACTTTTATTCTTTGTATGGCAGGTACATTTTTCGTGTTGTTAGCATGAATATGCCAGTTTTACAGAGTTTTATCAAGCATGCCAATTTGGATGCAATTTTATTATATAAGGCTGTTGTGACTGAAATTTTATCCAAGTTTTATCCACTGAATGTAGAACAGATTTCAGCTCACTGTGTTCAGAGAAGGAATCTGCAAAATGTGTGATTCACAAAAAAGCTGTTTAAAATAAATCATTGTGAACAATGTTGAACTGACGTGGTTCTTTTTTCGTGTGTGTGTGTGTGTGTGTGTGTGTGTGTGTATATAATAAACACTTAATTGTAATTAACGTTTTTGCTTAAGTTAACTTAAAAATATTAAGTAAATTGAACCATTATTTAAAAACAAATAATTGTAATGGTGTAGGTTAAATGTGCCAAGCATTTCAGCATTTCCTAATTAATATTTTATATAGTTTGAACTTTTGGTTACTGTTGTTTTAACTTACATTTTCAATTGTATTTACTCAATTTTGTATGTTACTGTAACATCTTTAATTGTTCATAACAACTTATTCCATTTTAGTTGGATTTACTCAATTAATAAGGTGTATTTAAGAGATGTGATTGTTTTTGCATTTACTCATTATTTTTGAGTGTAAAAGTGTTGCACCAAAATATTTAAGTAATTATCAGTTTTAGTTCTTAGAGTGTAGCTATATCTATATTTATATCTATCTTCTCTCTCTCTCTCTCTCTCTCTCTCTCTTTCTACATATATATATATATATATATATATATTAGGGGTGCAACGATATTCGTATCGATATTGAACCGTTCGATACAGTGCTTTCGGTTCGGTACGCATATGTATCGAACAATACAAAATTTGCAATTTATTTTATCAACTTTCCTTCTGACGATGCTGTCTGTGTTGAGCGCTCAGTGAATCTGCGTTCGACTACTCCGCCTAGGCTGCACTGTCGAACGCAGATCCGCTGAGCGCTCAACACAGACAGCATCGTCAGAAGAAAGAGCGCAGGGCAAGCTAGCGAGACAGAAGTTAAGCTCTTCTTGCAACATGGCAAATTGAACCTCCCCCACCCTCATTCAGATCTGGTGTTTGGAGCTATTTTGGTTTTCATGTGAAGTATGACCCTGAAGGTAAGCGCGTCATGGACTAAAGTAAAACAGTATGTTGGATGTGCCACGCAATGCTCAATTACATGGGCGGGAACTAGTGTGTTAGCGCAGTTAGCTCGTTAACGTGTTGGCCATCTAGCCCCATGCACGAAGAGATCAGGGGTAGCTCGTTAATGGAGATTTGCCGTGTTGTGGCGTTAAGGTCATTTCAACGAGATTAACCTGACAGCACTAGTGGGAACACAACGAATATGACTGCACATTTACGCTGACATCATCCTAGTGCAAAGACAAGCGGAAGCAGACAAAAACAACAAGCGCGCATGCTACAAACTTTAGCCGAGTCATTTAGACAGCTGTTAGCACATGATTCTCCTTATGGGGACCTGATATGTTTAATATGCTGCTGAGAATATAGCCCAGAAGAAGCGTATAGTATAGCTTTTATTTTGGAAAGAGCCATTTCTCTGTAATAAACTCTCTTTTCCAAACATGAGTGATTTCTCGATCAGATAGATGTATTCTTTTTTTAATTTTGTTGTTTCAGCAACATTACATTTAAAAACTGTACTTTTGAGTTAAAATATATATTTATAATTTTAATAAATGACAAATTAAAAAGGCATGAACATTTTTTTGTATCGAAAAAAAAATGTATATATATAATTTTATGAATGCCTCCACAGTCTGTAAAGTTCAAAGATCATCAGCACAAAGAATAAAAATGAACACCCTGGTGCCACTGCATGTCCATCTATAGTAGTGTCCGAAAGGAACGGCAAGATGTCAAGGAGTGTGTGGTGTAGACTGCAGCGCTCTGAAAAACCAAATATAACAGACGCCAATAAAGTTTATACTCCTGCGAGCAACTTACGTTGCGTAACAGTTACTGTTCTCAGATTGGAAAAAGGCAATTTGATGGGCTTCGCTCCTATTTTTTTTTTTTTCCTGAGAAAGGAAGGTAAGAAAAAATGAACTCAGTAGCTTCACAGAAGTGTTATGAAGAATATTATGATGGTATTGTTTATTATGTTTTACAGAAAATACGTTATTTTTAACTGAAAATATTAAGTAAGATTGGTTTATCAGTAACAATAGTTAAATTATGCAGGTGACAAAAGACAGTTATTGCATTCAAAGCAAGTTACCCCTTACAAAAAATTATAATTATTTCTACCAGACATACAGCATTTACCACATAGCTGCTGTGACTCTGTGGTTTATTTGGACTTCAACCAAGTCATTTGGAGATATTTACATAAATGAGGAGTCACCCAAAACACTGTAACTGCATTAATCAGAAAAACTAATGTAAGGTTCTTGAACCTTTCCAGCTACACATTAGTGTTTTCCCCCCTTTACATGTACCTTTGGTATCAGAGAGAGAGGCAAAAAAGAGAGTAATTAAACTGGGAACATGAGTGAAAAGATCAATGAAGGAGTCTCTGGCCTCAGGTATTTTACCAACTTGAAACTAGATCCTAAATGGAAATGGCTATCAATACCCATCCCTGCTCTCAGAGTTAGCTAAAGTAATGGACCCAAGATATATAATGGTTAGTAAACCTCTGCAGTCATAGTTAAAGTAAAACAAAGAAAATATGGCGGGACATTAAAAATTCTATGGACAATAGTAGCATCAAGTGAAGTTTTTAGTTTTTGGACCCAAGAAAAAGCAATGGTGGCAAACTTTGGTATATAATGACCTGCAGGTCATCCGACATTCACATTATCGAATTTTGATTCTAAATTTCTAGCTTAAACAGCTCAAAGTTATATGCGTCTATATTCTGTCTTTAATGCTTTTTTTTTTATTTCCTATCCGTTAGCTAAAGGTGTGCAATTCTAAAACGTACAGCCCTGAGAAGTCAATTTTGACATTTTCTGCACAAAAGACAACCTCATTAGAGCCAGAAAAACAAGCTGCAGGGGTTCAGCCACCAATCACCAAGTGTGACTGTCTCCTCCTCAAACACACAAGTCAAAATTTGAATATCTGCTGCTTTAGCCTGCTGAGACAGTCGGTGCCATCACAACCCTATGAAATCTGATTTTCCACAAGCGATTACTCACTAACCCTCCTGATCCAATCTAATAATTGCAACTGGAAATGAGCTTGAGCGAACACCTGGGGCTGTGACACCTCCATTTGTTTCTAAAGAGCAAAATTAATTTCTTTTATACTGTACAATTTCCATAGAATCTCTTATCCTTATGAGCAAAAAGACAGGTGGACTATTTAAGACGATGTTTGGATCTTTGTTAATGTTAGCAAGTGTTAACACGTAGCTTACACGTGTCCTGGACCCTGGTTTATTTAAAAGATTATTCATGTCAGGTGAATCTACAGGGTGGGCCATTTATATGGATACACCGTAATAAAATGGGAATGGTTGGTGATATTAAAGTCCTGTTTGTGGCACATTAGTATATGTGAGGGGGCAAACTCCTCAAGATGGGTGGTGACCATGGTGGCCATTTAGAAGTCGGCCATCTTGGATACAACTTTTGTTTTTTCAATAGGAAGAGGGCCATGTGACACATCAAACTTATTGGTAATGACACAAGAAAAACAATGGGGTGCTTCGTTTCAACGTAACTTTATTCTTTCATGAGCTATTTGCAAGTTTCTGACCACTTATAGAATGTGTTCAATGTGCTGCCCATTGTGTTGGATTGTCAATGCAACCCTCTTCTCCCACTCCATAGACAATTGCCTTCAGATTACCCCAAAGATAAAAGTCTAAGGGGGTCAGATCGGTAGACCTTGGGGGCCATTCAACTGGCCCACGATGACCAATCCACTTTTCAGGAAACTGTTCATCTAGGAATGCTCGGACCTGGCACCCATAATATGGTGGTGCACCATCTTGCTGGAAAAACTCAGGGAACGTGCCAGCTTCAGTGCATAAAGAGGGAAACACATCATCATGTAGCAATTTCAAATATCCAGTGGCCTTGAGGTTTCCATTGATGAAGAATGGACCCACTATCGTTGTACCCCATATACCACACCAAACCATCACTTTTGTTGTTTCAACAGTCTTGGAGGGATCCATCCAATGTGGGTTAGTGTCAAACCAATAGCAGTGGTTTTGTTTGTTAACTTCACCATTTACATAAAAGTTTGCCTCATCACTGAACAAAAGCTTCTGCGTGAACTGAGGGTCCTGTTCCAATTTTTTTTTTGCCCATTCTGCAAATTCTGTGCGCCGATCTGGGTCATGCTGCAGTAGCTGGAGTTTGTAAGGGTGCTATGCTGCCCTCACGACACGTGACCCTGTGAGGTTAGACAGCTAGCGAACAAATAGAAGAGGTCTTCCACACAAGGCTTGACTTTCTTGTTTTTATGTAACTAGAATATGAGAAAAAATGAAAATGAATCGCTGGTTAACACACATCTTAATAACAACTTGCCGATTAGCCTAGCTTAACATGTACATTACATCAGTATACAGTTCGCTCCATGTAAACACACATAACGACTGTCTCTACACATGTCAATACTCACAAAGACGAACGTTTTCCGAGGTGCGAACGTGTAGAGCACTCTTAGCGTGAACATGAACTAGTCCCTATTTAATAACTGCCGGAGCACTTTTTCACGACATCATAAGCGAAAGGGTACATCAAAGATAGGTTAGTGAACAGGACGCTCCCTCGCTCCATTTCCGCACATAGGATACAAAGATCTCTTGTGGAAATGATGTCTCACTCTGAGCTTATTTATCACTCTGCTTATGTGGCTCAATCAGCACACACACCAACCGCTGACTTTTGACTCAAGGGCATAACAGGTGCCATTTGTGAGTAGCTAATATCTGCCGAAGGGATGTTCGACTAATGCCACTCTCCAGTGACATGCGGCGAGTGCTACGCTGTGGGCTCTTGCTGAATGAAGCTAGGACAGCCACTGATGTTTCTTCATTAGTGACAATTTTCTTGCGTCCACATTTTGGCAAATCCAACACTGAACCAGTTTCACGAAACTTAGCACGCAGTTTGCTAACTGTAGCATGGGAGATGGGTGGTCTCGTAGGGTGTCTTGCATTAAAATCTGCTGCAATGACCCGGTTACTGCGTTCACGAGATATCAACACAATTTCGATCCGCTCCTCACGTGTTAACCTCTTCGACATGTCAATGGCTGTGAACAAAGAGAAACTTAACTCAAAATAACTCATGAAAGAATAAGGTTAGGTCGAAACCAAGCACACCATTGTTTTTCTTGTGACATTACCAATAAGTTTGATGTGTCACATGGCCCTCTTCCTATTGAAAAAACAAAAGTTGTATCCAAGATGGCCGACTTCTAAATGGCCACCATGGTCACCACCCATCTTGAGGAGTTTGCCCCCTCAAATATACTAGTGTGCCACAAACAGGACTTTAATATCACCAACCATTCCCATTTTACTACGGTGTATCCATATAAATGGCCCACCCTGTAGTATGCAAGTCTTATGCATGCCACAGTTCTTGTAGGCTATGAGCAGATATGAAGCAGCAGTGAGTCAAACAGCTGAAGATCATCCTTGGTGAAGCAGCATTCCTTTGCCTTTGGGTCCACAGAAAGCTCATGACATTCTGATTCATAAGGAAGTGCCTTGGTAATGTAGCAGAGGCTGAACAGAGACCCGCATAATTTCTTCATGAAACCTGTATAAAATAAACTGATTTGTTTGCCCAAGGATTTGGTTTATGAATTCTGTAGCATGGATAACAAACACTTTTCAAGGCTTTTTAATATGTCTGGCCATGCTTGCTGAATGGTTCTGTGGATCTCATTGATCTCATTGATCTGCTGGCTGCGCCGCCACTTAGGCTCAAACTGGGTTGTTACAATAACCCAGATGGGTTGCCATGAAATTTGGGATTTATTATAACTGAAGGATATATCTAAAAAAAAATAGCAGAGGACTCCTGTCGTAAACAAATGTTCAGCCACAGTATTAATGGTTAAAAAAAAATAGATTCTTTGTAAGGTGAACACCTGACCACTTTAGTCCATCACCAGACAGACAGTATTGGGAAGTGAAGCACAATACTGGAAGTATTGAAGTGTATTGAGTATGAAAGTGAATGTGGATACATGATTATCATTAAAATGCTATAAAAATTGAAGCATTGTCTATAGAGGTTTTGCAGACATGTGACCGCTTACCGCTTGACATTTAACTTGTCGGCCATTTTGGATGTTTAATAGTCCTGAAACATAGTGGAAAACCTGCAAACCATTATGTAGATGAGATACACTATGACAGCTATGAGTAAACAAACAAGTGCATATATACTCTCAGAGGAATTAAAACATTTACATGTCTCTGTGCATTATCCTTTACACAAGTCAGTGTAGGTCATTTCTGATCACACCTGTTTGCGGCTATTCATTGCTATTACTGAAACGTTATTAACGTGGGCAGAACCACACTTAGCAAATAAATTCTCATGATGTGAGAATATAATAAAAGTGTTGATCAAAGGGAAGGTAGTTTTAAAGTTTTAGGACGCTAGAGTCTAATGTTAGCTGGCACAACGTTAGCTTGTAACGCTATGTTGTTGTTTAACTATCTCTTGTCAGCTGTCCAGAAATGTGAGGGTCACATGTCTCATCTGCTGACAATAACTAATTGTGACAGTTTTGAGATTAAGTTAACTATGTTCATTTAAGATTTCTTCCCCAAACTAGAGTTCAGGAGTTAGGCTTAAGATGAGGAGGAAGAGGATGAGATGGAGATGAAAAGGTAAGAGTAGCGGTGGAGGAGGCAGATGAGGTAGATGAGGAAGACAAAAAATAGAAAGAGCTAATGAAAATATAAGTATAAAAACTAAGTAATCATGATAAAACAGATGCTGGTTATTTTAAAAAGTCAAGTAACTTGTAACTCTTATACTGTTTAGCTATAAATATATATTTTTGTATTCTTCTATCTGAAACAACAGGAAACTGTCACCATGCAGCAGAATATAGGCATTGTGAATAGTAATAATTTCTATGTAAAGTATGTATAAAAGGTTTGACATCACAATAACATGGCCGACAGTTCTTGAGCGACATGTGCATGAGGTCACATGCAAAACCTAAATTGAGTGATTATAAAGCCTGCAAGCCTAGTTTATTTCTTTGAAAGTAACAGTACAAATTTTGCAATCACGACAAATTTGCAACTCCTTTGAAGAGGTATATATTCAAGAAAAATTAAGTAGTCCAGAAAATTCAGTGTGCTGACATTTATCTAACTGGGCATCTACAACATCCTTTACCTCTCTGCATTCTGCTCTTCATGCACAGATGGACTGGAGAGAAGATGGATTTCAATGGCAAACGGTTACTGTGTGTCTGCCCTTTCTCCATTTTTTTTGAGTCAATGTATTGTTTCATGTTTTTGTTTTTGAAATGCTTTACAAGGGAAATCCTGCTGTCAAATTGTATTATGTAGTAATTTATGATGTTTAAATTTATGATGTACTGCAAACTGAAACTGAAATAGCTTTGATTGATGCACTTATACAAATGGCTTCATCAACATGTTTTATTAGTTATATCTATCATTATGATACACGTTAAATAAACCCCCCCTCACACCATCTGCCTCTGGCTGCAGATAGCAGGGGTTGTGTGTTCAGGTCGTTGTGCTCTGCACCATCCAGATGCCAATCTGATTTCCTGGAGCTGTTGTTGAGCTGCTGCCATGCATCACTGTGATTGGCACAGCTGTTTCAGAACGATGAGGCCATTAATGAGACTGGCTAAGAGTGGATTTATTAATCACCACCATATTCAACTTCTGCCAACCCTTTTTGTACATTGCAGTGCACATACATGTTCCAAAATAGCTAGTGCGCTTGTAGACATGCACATTGCAAGTGACAAACAAGTCGTAAGCAGTAGTTCTTGGGTGCATTGGTTAAGTTTTTAAAGGCTCTAGGTCTTTCATCTATTGGTCTTGGTGAGGGATAACAAAATACCTGCTTAGTTTCACAAAGGAAAAGTGATTTAACAACACATGGTAATGATCCAAGACTTACTGCTGCATAACAGAACACTACTGTACCTTGTTTCTGCTCAGTGCTGGATAGCTCTTAAGCAGTGACTAACAGACTTGCATGTAATTCAAAATTTTTAAGTATTTCTTTCTCTCGTTTAGCAATGCTCACTTCCATTTATATTTTTAAGAGACTTGCTTATGGTATCCTCCTTCCTTCCCTCTACAGCTGGATTATCGTTTACTTAATTCCTAAAGTCAGCACTTTAGATTTGTCCATTGCACCTCCTTACGTGACATTTAACAACTGCATCTTGCGTTAATTCTTGCAGATCAGGTGTGGGTTTGAACTACATATTTAACTGTTGGAGTAATTTTTTCTTACTCCAGGTAGATACACAAAGGCAGTGGCAAAAGACAGTATTAAAAGATGTGATTTCAATCACATCTTTTCAAACAGCTACCTACCTGTGTAGGTTTTGTGTAGGTTTTTCTTTATGCTGACAGCACTGCTCTGCACAAGGGACTTAGGAGGAACTGTGGTGTCTGTGATATCTGTCACCACTAATGTTGGTAGTAGATTGTTTGGACCTCAGTGTATCTTGCTTTTTCCAAATATATTGAGATGTATGAAGTCTGGAGCAAGCTTAAGGCCTTGGGCTCTTTGTCATTCATGAAGAGAAAAGCGTATCAAATAAAGGTTTATGGAATTAAGCATCATATACAAGATGTCTTAAATTTAAAACAGGATGCCATGTTCTGCATTTGAAGGAAGTAGCCATGGCTCTAAATACAATAAAAACTGCAATTGCTGCCATGTTTTTGTACCTTTTAACCAGTCGGCATTCTACCTACACGCAAATTCACTGTCACAGAACTGTGTGCGTGTTCTTGGCTTTTCGGAGGAGTGCATGAAAGGACATCTGTCTGCATTACCTAAATAGCTAAAACACATCTTTGTGCATGAACAGAAATAAAAGATCTATTAAAGTAATGTATGGTAATGTATAGCATATAGTGCACATAACAACAGGGTTCTCAGAACCTCTTTAAACAAGTGTTGTTTTTTTTAACCTTTTAAAGCTTCTGTTTAAACATGTTGTTTACAATGGTGTGTGCCATGTCTGCTGTTTTTCACTAAAGCACTGACTGGCACTGACAGTGATTGGCCCCATTCCAAACCCTTCCACGTCCATACCACAGTTTGCTAGGTTTTGCAAACCTGACAACCCGTTAACAGCTGTTACCTTTAACGGCAGCAACTTCTAAGGATTGCAAGTAAGTTCAAGTATGAATCTAAAAATATTTTGTAAATCAGCCCCTTGATCACTTAGGTGGCTGAGTGTGCTGCTCTGCTTGGGGAGCCCAATATTGTCTTGAAGTGTTGCTTCCAAGGGGGGTACTGCAGTAATGGTAAGGTGATTGGTGTTTGTTGGACTAACATCCAGGTGAATTCCATGACTTATTACAGTGTTGTGCTGTTCTTGATCACCATTATTCAGCCTAACTGTAAGTGTATGACTGATTCCAATTTATGTAGCTTTCAGCAAAGCACCATCTCGGCCAATGTTTTTAAATGTATTATTTTTATGGAAAAACATCAACAACACCCAGTTTCCTCAACCTACATTTGTAAATTTGCACAAAATGTGATCTGACACACTCACATACTGAGTGGGGTATAACAGATTTTTGTCCTTGGAGTCGTAGACATTCAAAAAGAGATGTGGTTAATATTAATA